CAGAAAACTCCGGGATTTGATGGGGAGGTGGAGTCAGCCTGCATGGAACCCAAGTGGGAGATGATGGGAACCCAAGTGGGAGATGGTGGGAACCCAAGTGGGAGATGGTGGGTTCCCAAGTGGGAGATGATCACCTGATGCTCATCACAGGGTCATCCCCACCTTGAGTGAGAGAAATAGATTTGTAAAGAAAGCTTAAAGTTTGATAGGATTTTTAGGGGTTTTTTTGGGATTTTAGGATTTCATTTTTAGGAATTTTTTTTAGTTTTGTATATTTGTACGTAAATTTTTATGTGAATTTGTATGTAAATATTGCGATGAGGTGTGTTGATTCAGGAAGGTTGTGGAATAGAGGTGATATTGTGGAGAGAGCAATTGAGTTAAAAATAAGTTTTAATACATTTTAAATATAGCTTTGTAAAATGATTAGGTATTTTAGAGAATTAGAGTTGTAGGTGGGAGAAATAGATTTGTAAAGAAAGTTTAAAGTTTGATAGGATTTTTTAAGGTTTTTTTTAGGATTTTAGGATTTAATTTTTAGGGTTTTTTTTTTTTAGTTTTGTATATTTGTACGTAAATTTTTATGTGAATTTGTATGTAAATATTGCGATGAGGTGTGTTGATTCAGGAAGGTTGTGGAATAGAGGTGATATTGTGGAGAGAGCAATTGAGTTAAAAATAAGTTTTAATACATTTTAAATATAGCTTTGTAAAATGATTAGGTATTTTTAGGGGTTTTTTTGGGATTTTAGGATTTCATTTTTAGGAATTTTTTTTAGTTTTGTATATTTGTACGTAAATTTTTATGTGAATTTGTATGTAAATATTGCGATGAGGTGTGTTGATTCAGGAAGGTTGTGGAATAGAGGTGATATTGTGGAGAGAGCAATTGAGTTAAAAATAAGTTTTAATACATTTTAAATATAGCTTTGTAAAATGATTAGGTATTTTAGAGAATTAGAGTTGTAAAAGGTGTATTGTAGTAGGATTACGTGGGGGGAAATATAGGTGATTAGTGTTAAAATAACAGCAGTATTGTGTGGTAAAAGTTAATAAGTTGAAAAATATTTTTAAAGAATTGTAACTAAGAAATAAATTCATTTTTGATGGAATAGTGTTGAGTTTTACATCTCTTATGTCTCACCCTTCATCGAGACTGATAATAGAATAAAATTTTTTAAATTTTAAAAAAAAAAAAAAAGAAAAGCTGTGGGACCTTGCCAGATCTGTGTCCAGTCTTTGGGGAGGGAGACTCCAAATCTATCCCACTTAATTCAACACTTTACCATAAAACTTTAATTTAATTTAATTTAATTATGGAGTTTCCTGTATTTGGATCCATATCAGCCAAGATTCTTCTTGGTCCAGGTCCTCTGGACTAGATCCCATCTCCCGGGATGGAGACTCCAGACATCTCCCACCTGATCCAAATTTTGAAATTCCTCCCCATAAAAAATATTTTATTTTAATTATTTTATTTTATCATATTGTGGAATTTTCTGTATTTGGATCCATATCAGCCAGGGTTCACCTTGGACAGATGCCTCAGGTCCATGTCCAATTTCCAGGGATGGAGACTCTAAACATCTCCCACCTGATTCAAATTTTGACAATTCTCCCCATAAAAATATTTTATTTATTCTATATTTTATTTTATTTTATTTTATTTTATTTTATTTTATTTTATTTTATTTTATTGTGGACTTTCTTGTATTTGGATCCACACACACCAGCCAGGGTTCACCTCGGTCTGGGTCCTCAGGACCATGTCCAGTCTCCAGGGATTGAGACTCCAAATCTCTGGACATCTTGATCCAACACCTGACCATCCTCCCCATAAAAATATTTAATCTTATGGGGGTTTTATTGTATTTTGAAGTGGAATTTCCTGCAGTGGGGTCCCTGTCAGCCGGGATTCACCTTGGGCAGGTGGCTCAGGACTTTGTCCAATGTCCAGGGACAGACATTCCCAATCTCAGGGACAGACATTCCAAACTTCCAGGGATTCCCAACCTCCAGGGACAGACATTCCCAATCTCCAGGGACAGACATTCCCAACCTCCAGGGATTCCCAGCCTCCAGGGAGAGACATTCCCAGTCTCTGGACATCTCAATTCATCAATCTGACCACCATCCCCATAATTTATTTTATTTTTAAGTGGAATTTCCTCCCTTTGGATCCATACCAACCAGGGTTCACCTTGGCCATGGAGCCAAAATCCCACTTTATGGAGTGCCCCAATTTTTGGGATGGTTCTCGCTGAGACCCAGAGGCCACAAGGCCTTCAAAGGAGCAGCAGCTGCAACACGAGGCCAAAACTTGGGAGCTCCAACCCCATTTTATTCCAGAATTCTAGAAAGAAGCCACAGGAATTGTTTTTTTTGTTTGTTTTGTTTTGTTTTATTTTGGGATCACAAAATACACAACATTCATTTTAATATGGGACACAGAATATTCTGTACATATTAAAACCCACATGACTGCAACACAACCGCACACGGCACCAATTCCCAAACGGAAAAACCCCACAAGTGCTTTTTTCCTTTTTTTTTTTAATATTAAAAACAAATAGGATAAAACATTAATATTTTTTTCCCAGACAACGTTTACAATAGAGGAAAAAAATCATATTTTTACTAAATAACAAATATTTAACAGCACAACTTTATCCTAAATATCTATTCTTGAATTATAACAAAAATAGCACTTATAATAGTTTATAAAGACAAACCAAAAAAAAAAATTGTGTATAAAATAATATTATAGCAAATTGGACTGTGCTAATTAAAAAAAAAAAAATCTGAGATTCAAAGTGCTTTATTCTGCAAACCCACTGCAGCAACTTTATTTTTTTAGTCAAGTTATATTAGTTAGGACTGGAACAACAAAGCCTGGCTTACTTCAGCCTGGATTAAATACTCCCCCACACAAACACTGTATATCCACGGGATGTTAATGGAATTTCAGGGATAGCTGCAGCTCCCATTCCCATCAAAACTCACTCCAGAGCAGGTTTGGTTCTCACTTTGGAATGACAGTGGAAGTTAAAAGAAAAATTTCAGGGAAAAACTTTTCCCTGACTCCCCATGAAAAGAGCAATCGAGTGCTTCCAGAAAAGTCTACCCAAGAGATTTTGCCCATCTACCCGAGGGATTTGTCCTTAACCAGACCTTCCATCCTGGCTGTCCATCCCCCTCTCCAGCTTTCCCCTTTCCCAGCCCACTCATCCCCAAGCACAGATCCCAGATGGAAACGGGGGCTCCTGGAGGGCACCCATGGGGTTCTCACCCTACAGCTCACCCACCTTCCATCCCCATTCCCAAGTCCTGCAAAAACCATGGACACCTCCCTGTGCCTCTCCTGGGATGTTTGTCCTTCGGAGACTCCCATTCCCACCACATCCAGGTTTGCGCTCCCCTTTGCCTTTGGGGATATGGATCTCCACCCAGCTCCTTTTGGGAACGTTTTCTCTCCATCAGGGACAAGGAAACACCTGGAATCCCAACAGGGACTGAGCTAGTGGTGTTCAATTTAAAAATTCCAGGCTGGAAAACTCTGAGCCTCTGCTCCAGGGCTCCTGAGACCTTCTTGTGGGTTTGGCACGTTGGTCACCACCCGGGAATGAGGCTGGGATAGGAATGGGAATGGGGAATCCCAAAAGATCGGGAGTTTTATACCAGCTTGAATCAAGCTGTGCACCCTGGTGGGAGGGACCACCATCCCCTGGGATGCTCCAGGGGGGATTTCTGGCAGCTTGGCTGACGGCATTCCAACCTTAAGTGCTTCCCTTGGCTCCAAACCTGCCTCCCTCCTCCTTGCCCCCGCCAGCGCCACGCCGGCCAAGGCGGCCTCGCCTCCGCTCGCTTCACACTTCCCACCACCTTCCCAAGAGGCACCTCTTGCCAAAGAGGCAAAGGCACAACCTGCAAAGCCACCTGGTGAGCCACACCTGCCCCTTCTCCTTCCCCTTTCCAAGCCCTCGGACTTCTCTGGACCCCTGTGGAGCCGACAGCCAAGCTGCGGGATCGCTGCCCGTCACCGTCTCGGCCTCCTCGTGTTGCCTGTTCCACCTCGGAGGGTTGGGATGGGACAGGAGTGGGGCTGGATGGGCTGGAAAAGCTGCCCCAAGTCACGGAGGGATCTCCCAAGCTGGTGTTTGGCTCTGGTTGGAACCCAACACCTGCCCAGGTGCTCAGGGAGCTTGTGCTCCACACCCTCCCAACACAACCCTCGAAACTTCCAACTCATCCCAGAAGCCTCCTGCATGCAGAAAACCAAAATAAAATAATCCCCCCAGCAAATGGAAGGAAAGATACCTCTCAGTGGCTGCTGGCTTGTGCTGGAGAGGCTCTGGAATTCTCCTGGGATGCGGGGTGGGAGCTGACACGGAGCCCTCTCCTTCCTGCTGAGCTCTCCCGTTGCCAAAAAACCCCAAACACAAGACAAACAAATGCGTGCGTTGGCTTAATTCGAGAGATCACCTTTAATGCAAATGCCCCTGGCAGGAGCAGCCCCGGCGCCCCCAGGTGCCCCCAGAGCCGTGCTGGGGTCGGGGGCTGGTGCCAGCACCTTGAGGGGACAGCAAAGGCACCGAAATGTCCCCAAAGCCGGGTGCCTGTGCCCAGGGCTGGCGGGGGGCTGGGGAGGAGGGGGTGCTCACAGGCCGTGTAGCAGCAGCAGGATACTCAACGAGAGAAAAAAAATGGGCATCCCCCTCCCCAGAGCCTCAAAACATCTTGGAAAATGCAAATCTGCCTCTCCCGAGGCCTGGGGGATGACTCAGCCCCGGGCAAGACACCAGAGGGGATTTTTGGGAAGGAAAACGACCCCTCCTCCTCCCCAGCCTGCCCCGGCACCAGCGGGAGAGGGGCTGGGAATGGGCAGCGTTGTCTCCCCCTGGCCAAGGAAAGGCTCCAATGCCCTGGAACAAACAACACAACCAAACAAATGAAAAAAAAAAAAAAAACCAAAAAAAAAAAAAAAAACACCTCAAAAAACATAAAAACACTGTTATCACCAGCTAATTTAACACTGTTAAAAAAAAAAGGTCAGAGGTCACCCCAGAGCTGCCCCGGGACACCAGACCTCAGATCCTCGGCTGATTCCCAAGCCTTTCCCGCAGTCGGGCCTTCTCCTCCTGGCAGCAGAAGTGTTTTATAGATATTTATATATATATATTTATAATAATTAGATACTGTGTATGGTCGGCCATCCCAGCTCGACTCGGCTTTTGCGGATCTTCCTCCTTCCCGACGAAACAAGACGCCGCCACCCCGACCTTCTCCGCGTCCCGCGGGAAGAGTAAAACGCTTCCGGCAGCTTCCCTGCTGGAAAAGCAGTCCCGATCCGGAGGTGAGCGCCGTGGAGAAGGTCCTCATCCCTCTCTCCTCCCCTCCTGTCCATCCCCTCGCCCCCACCCCACCCCTGCCTCCCCCGGCTGCCCGTCCCTGGTGCCACCGGCGCGGGCTTTACACGGTGGCCCCCAGCATGGCGTCTGTGCCCGTCAGGATCTCGTTCTGGTTGGAATCCAGTCCGAAGAATTTGACCTTGAGTCCGTCAACCGGGTGGACCACGGGCACCAGGGTGATTTTGGGGAAAGTCCTGGTGGCGAGCTCGAAGCGGCTGGTGCTGGCCAGCTCGATGGCCAGAGCCTTGAGGAAAAGCTTGGCCAGGTGCTTCCCCAGACAGGTCCGTACGCCTCCTCCGAAGGGGAGGTAGTGGAACCTGCCGTCCTTGTCTTCGCTCCGGCCCTGCCCGAAGCGGTCGGGGTCGAAGACGTCCACGTCCTTGAAGACGGGAGCGGTGTCGTGGGTGTCCCGGATGCTGTACATCACGCTCCAGCCCTTGGGGATTTGGAAACCCTGCGGAGAGGCGGGAAGGGGCGGAGAGGAGAGCAGAGTGGGTCAATCCTGCTGGAGAGGGAGCGGGAACAGGGGGACGAGATAAAGGAATTTTGTTTCCATGGAATGATGGAATGGTTTGGGTTGGGAGGGACCCTAAACTGATCCTGGCCCACCCCGCTCCACAGGCAGGGACACCTTCCATCACCCCAGGGTGCTCCATGCCCTATCCAGACTTGGACACTACCAGGGATGTGGTATCCACAATCCCTGGGCAATTTGTGCCAGGCCGCACCACCCTCACAGTTTTCCTTGCTTAGTCCTATTTCTTTTGAGTTTATCCCTCAAGTGTGATGCAGATTTAAAGGAAAATCAGACAGCACAACACAAAGAGATGCGAATCCTGGCTTCATTCCTCCCTCCATCCCAAGGATTCATGGGATGATCCATCTATTTATTTGCTTTGTGGTCACTGGCAGGAGCTGCCTACCAGGAACCCCGTGGTGCTGAGCAGGGGAAGCAGCTTCTCCCGTGCCATGCCCCACACATCAGCCAGCCCTTTCCAGAGCATCCCAGAGCATCCCAGAGGATCCCACAGCATCCCACACCCCGCTGCCTGTCAGCACCACACACCCAACACCCACGTCGGGGCCTGGGCGATGAGAAATGGGGTGGATTTATCATCCCCTGAGCACTTTAAAAGGTCTCTGACTCAAACCACTGCATTAGGAGGATTTACAGTGACAAGGCAGCTCCCGAGATTTTGTTTTGCTGGGAGGAAATTCCAGCCATGGTGGTGACTAATCCGCCTGTCATCCGGCAGCCTGGAGATGCCCTTTGCCGTAAACCTTTCCCCTGTCACACCCCAGCTCAGAATTTGGCGTCACTGTCACGAGCTGGGCTTTGAAGCATCACACCCGTCTGCTCTTTGACAGCTCCACGCATCCCTTGCTCCACATCCCATCACTGCTGGATCTGGAGCAAATCCCATTGCCGGAATCACAGAATTAATTAGGCTGCAAAAGCCTTTCAGATCATCACGTCCAAACTGTGAGCTAACACCACCTCATCCACTAAACCGTGGCACTGAATGCCACATCCAGGCTTAAACCCCTCCGGGGATGGTGACTCCACCACCTCACCCCATTCCAATGCCCAACCACTCTTTCTGGGAAGAACTTTTTCCCTAATATCCAGCCCAAACTTCCCCTGGTCCAGCTTAGGGCTGCATCCCTTTATCCTACCACTGGTTGCCTGGGAGAAGGACTTAATTAGGCAGGACTTCATTTATCCCCTCGGAGGTCTCCTCTAAGCCAGGCTCAAGCCAGCCGGGCTGTTTTGGGGAGCTCGGGGTGCAGCACTACTCACGTCCAGCTCGAAGGTCTGCAGCACGGTCCGGTACCCCCCGGAGATGGGGGTGAAGAGCCGCAGAACCTCCTTGATGACGCAGTCCAGGTACTGGAGGCCGTTGATGTTGTCCAGGCGCAGGGAGCCCTCGCAGATGCAGCCATTGTGGAGGATCCCTTTGCTCCGCAGCTCCTCCCGCAGCTTCTCCAGCACCCGCGGGTGTTTGAGGAGCTGCATGATCAGGGAGGTGCTGGCGCTGGCCGTGGTGGCGTAGGCGGCGAAGATGAGCTCCAGCGTGCCGTCCTGGGGGGCAGGAGAAAGGCCGGGGTGAGACACAGGGGTGGGGCAGAGGGGCCACCAGCCTCAGCGCCTCAAGGTGCCGCGGGGTGTTCTTCTCCCCAAAAGATTTCCATCCTGGCCTCGGAATCGTGGAATGGTTTGGGTTGGATGGAAGTTAAGGATCAACTTGTTCCAGCCCCAGGGACAACTCCCACTGTCCCAGGGTGCTCTAAGCCCTGCCCAACCTGGCCTTGGATGCTCCCAGGGATGGAGCAGCCACAGATTCTCCCAAAAAACAGCAGCTCCAAAGATTTAAGATCCAAAGGGGCTGAGTGAGCTGAGGAACGATCACATCACAAAGCTGGGAGAGGGAAAAATGGAATGTGGAGGGAGATGGATTCTACTCTGGTGGTGATTTCCCACCCATCAGGACGGATGAGGGAAATCTGGGTAGAGTTTGTGTCCATTGTTAATGGCCTGGGACACTTCCAGGGATGGGGCAGACAGAGCCTGGTCACGTTTAACTGGAAGGTGACTCTTTGGACAGCCACCATGAGGAGCTTCACACAGAACCCCTGAGGATCAGACAAAAACCCAGGAGATGGCTCCTGGCATGCCACGGCCCTGCTGCAGATAAGAACCTGCTGAGGGGCTCCTGTGCCCTGCAAAGGAGGCACCAGGAGAAGTGGAAAGGTCAGGGGATGCAGCTGATCAAGGCTTCCATTGTGACCAGGGAGGTTCAGGTTGGATATCAGGAAGAATTCCTTTCCTGGAAGAGGGGCAAAGCGTTGGAAGAGGCTGCCTGGGATGACGATGGAGTCACCATCCCTGAAAGCATTCAAAAACCCAGTGGAGGTGGAATTTCGTGGTATGGTTTAGTGGGGATGGAGGTTGGCCTTGGTGATCTTGGAGGTCTTTCCAAGCTTAATGATTCCATGGAACGCTTTGTAGAAAGGGCTGGGCACAACCAGCAAACGAATAAAGCAACTGGTTTGGATTGCATCCACCAACACATCGTGGTCCCCCAGCTCTCAGGTCTGCCCCAAAAGTTCCTCCTTGGAGCATCCCTCACTTTTCCCTTCAGGAAGGCCCTGCCCAAGGGGGCCCCAGGGAAGAGCTTTACCTTCAGCTCCTGCATGGTCAGCTCCTTGCCGTGCTCCTTCCCGCTCTCTATCAGGATGTCCAGGGCGTCGGCGTAGTCCTTGCCCTGCGTGTTCTGCAGCTTCTCCTGGATGGCTTTTTCCAGGCCCTTCTGCAGCGTCTCCCGGGCCCGGATTCCCTGTGGAGCAGGAAGCGCTCAGACCACGCCACCAGCAGCACCTTGCCCATCCCAGGAGCTGCAGGCGTGCTCAGGACAGGTCCGAGCCATAAAAGCAGAGGCTCAAAGAGGGGTGTGAAGATGTTGGAGGTGTCCCCTGGGCAGGAGGAGTGAAGCCGGAGTGGGGGAGATCACAGGAGGAGCAATCAACACCTAGGTGTAAATGACGGGTCAGGGCTGGGAGCCCCTGTCCGGCACCGGTTCACAGCCCCCGGCTCCTCCTGGGATGTATGGAAATCCCTGGGAAAATCGTCTCTCAAAGGAAAGCCCATTCATCCCAAAGAATCCTCTTCCCGAGCAATTTGATCACCTGGTCCCAGTAAAGCAATTCCTACAGGAGTGCAGCTGCTCGGGGCTAACCTGCTGCTGGGAATGATTCCGGGCTCCAAGGGGATGGAATGGTTCCCATGGGCAAATAGCAGTAAAAGAAAATGCAGGGATATCAGAAAAATAAATTTTGAACCCATGTATTTCTGTTATCAAAATTCCTCATGGAGAAAAAAAATTATGATTTTATGTCTGTTTTTTTGTTATGTTTTCGTTTTGCGTGTTTCATCATAAAAACTGAAATACTCCAGGAATTAGAAGGACCTGTTTTAGTTTTGGGAATTACAAGGATCTGTTTTAGCTCCCGGAACTACGAGGACCTGTTTCACTCCAAGGGAATTAAAAGGAGAAGGGTCCCACAAACTAAAAAAACACAGGCAAATTGCCAAATGAGGAAAAACACAAATTAAATCTGGACAAGTCCTGACTATTTCCTGTTACCAAACCACTCCAGCCACCAAGGAACAGATTTTCCCCTGCCTTCTCCACCAAATCAGGAATTGTGGCCCAAAACGGACTCCTTGAGGTCAGAGGATGAGAAATCCCACCAAGAACGGGCAAAGGCGCGGATTAATCGCCGCCCATTAATTAAGTGAGAACCCGACCCCAGTCTCACCCTCCGGTAGCCGCTGAAGGGCAGGTCCACGGGCAGGGAGAAGACGTTCTCCACGAACTGCTGGTAGACCTCGAAGAGGCGGCCGAGCTCCTCGTCCGGGATGCGGAAGCCCAGCAGGACGCGGATGGCCATGCGGAACGTCAGCTTCTGCGCCTCGTGGTACACGTTGATGGACTCGGGCGTGCTGCTCCAGGCCCGCAGCGTGTCCTTGATCACCAGCTGGATCTTGGGGAGGTAACTCTCCAGAGCCTCGTGGCTGAAAATCTTGGAGAAAACCTACGGGAAACAGCAAGGAGAGGTTTGTCCACAGCCCCAACAGGCATGGCCTTCTCCAAGGTGTCCTACCAAGAATGTCACCATTCTGAACTCTTCATCCAGTTCCCAAAAAAGCTGGCAGAAACAGCAGCTCCTCCCGAGATTCCCACCACGACCATCACAACTGGGAGTAACGGAGCAAACCAGGATGGGAGGAATTCCTCCATCCCACATGTGGCAGGAAGGACAGAGATGGCTTTCCGTGTCCAAAGGATCCCAGCTCTGTTCATCCCATGGTTTGGGTATCACTAATGCACCTTTTCCACAGGGATTCTCCAGCGTCCAACACGGACAAACACAAAGGGAAAACACAACTCTCCCAACGGGAAGCACTGACAATTCCTCCCACCTCTCCATCACCTTTTCCTTTTTTTTTTTATTTTTTTTGCCTTCACGGATGCAAAACGAAGCAAAATAATTATTTTGGAGCCTTTAGGATCTCTGTGGAATCTGGCTGAACTCCGACAGGGGTTCAAGCGGGGAAGAGCCTCTGCACGTACGCAGAGGCCACGATCGCCCTCAGCTCATTTCCTTGGGAAACCAGGGAAAAAAAAAAATTCCTGATGTCAGCAGCCAGCGTTAATTTAAGCCCTGCGAGTAAACAGTGAGCAGGACTGGGCCTCCCCAGGTCCCCCACGCTAACGGCTCCTTACTCCAATTTTTTTCCTCCAATTTGGGCCCGGGCCCGCTCGAGGAGCTCAGCAATGCCAGGAATGTCCCTTCCCGGCACAGCAGCGCTTTCATTCGGCATTCCCGCCGCATCCCTCGCCGAGCAAGGGGGGAAAGTGCTGTTTGTTTATTTTTTATTAACCTACACACACGCACGGGGCAGGGCGCACACGCACCGCAGGCCTCCAGGAAAATCCAATTAAACCAGGATTCCAAGGAGGGAGCTGCGCGCCGGAGCCTCCACCGGTGGCCGCTTCCCGGCGGGAATGGAGGCGAGGTGGGGGGGCTGCCAAGTTATCAACCCACCGAGAGGAGCGAAATCAAAGCCGCCCCCTCTTTTCCATGAGCGCCGGGCTCGCCGGAGCTGTAAATGTGAGAATTTCCTCCGCAGTCAGCACTCCAAGGGAAAGGTAATATTTTCCTGGCTGCGACCCCTCATTGCTAATGCCCGGCGTTCCCTGGGAGTTTGTTTGGTGAAAAAACACCTCTGTCCCCTCGCAGCTCCGGGCAGGAGCCTCCGCAAGAGCCGCTTCGCAGCGCCCCAGGTTGAGCCCCCAGTAAAACTCAGCCGCCCGGAGCGGAGCTGCCCGCAGAAATCCCGGGATGCGAGGATGGATAGGGAAGAGAATCCGACCGTGGGGACAGGGAGCCATCCCTGGATGGCCGCAGAGAGCCGAGGCATGAATGAATGAGAGGAGGAATCAATGAATGAATGAAAGAACAGCAGGGAGCGGGACGGGGCCGCCTCCTGCCTGCATCCAGCGCCGCTCCAGCCTGGAAAGGCGGCGGCGTTCGGGCATTTTCTGCTGGAAAAAGCAGCAGGAAAAGCTGGAGGGGGTAAAGCCGAGACCGTCGGCTGCGTGGGGAAGGTGGGGAGGGAATGGGGAAGGTACAAGGGAGTGGGGAAGGGACGGCTCCTTTGTCCATGAGCAGGACACCGGGTCTGATGCAGATCCAGGATCCATGAGCTCTTCCACAGGATGGGACAAGACCACCTGGCGAAGGGACACCGCTGTGTCCCCATCCAGCTCTCACCTGCCCTTCATCCATGCTGAGGAGCTTGGAATAAGGACAGAAGCTCCCAGTGAATAACCTGAAACAATTCCCGTGCCTCAGTTTCCCCAGCTGGAAGCAAGGCCAGTGAGGGGACAACTTCTGCTTTAGGAGCACCGGGTCTACGTCCCTGCTGGGAGCCACCAGCCCGGTGGAGGTGGCCTTTGGGGGCTCCTGGCCTCGTCCTTCCCCGGCATCCCCCACAGGAGGAGCACCCGGGGACCCCCTGCTCCCTGAAGGAGGGACACAGACGTGCCTCTGGTCCCAAAACAGCTGCCGAGCTGTGGGGGGCTGGATCCACACCCCTGGATCAAGCCAAGCTTCCCAAGAGGAAAGATCCTGTCCTAAGGATTGGTGTGAACAGGAGGGAAGAGAAAACCGAGCCCCTGATGGGATCAGCACGAACCTGACCAGGGGCAGGTTAAGCGCCGGGGGGTGAGGGAGATTTTGTTCTTTCTCTGCAATTTTTGGGAGCTCTCCCCGTGCCAGGAGGCTCCTCCAGCTGGCTGCTCCCTGGAGCTCCCAACCGAGCCCCGGCCGCGCTGCTCCGTCCCGGCCGCCGCCGCCGCGCTCGCACCGCCTAATCCCACATGTCAGCAGATCCTTCCCCGGCCAGACACAAGTCTGGATCCCCTTCCAGTCACCTCCAGTTCAACCCTGCATCTTTCCAGTTGATTAAAAAGGAGGAGAAGGCAGCCAACTTTCCCCGACGAACCCCGGCGCGTTCCCAGCCTAAAATTCCTGCGCCCTCTAGTGAAGTGGAGCCGAGCGGCTCGGCCGCTCCAGGAGCGAATCCAGGCAAAGCCGAGGAGAATCGGGGCAAGAAAAAGTTGTTCCAGAGCTGCCGAGAGGCAAAATCATCTCTAAGCTCAGCTTTGTTAACCCTGAGATGCCTCAGCCCGGCTGTGGCGGCACCCAGCCACAAGGGATCACAGCAGGTCCAGGATTTTTTGGGGATGCTGGAAAGAGTTTTTCCATGTTGGGGTATGTCCCAAAAGAGCCAAATCTGGGAACTTGCTCCATCTAAAGGTGCTCATTTCCACCCTACACCCACACTGACGGAGACCCCACCACCCAGCGAGTCTGGCTGCAACTTTCCCACTCCGCCTCACATGGAAAAAGGATATTTATGGTTTTCCAAAGGCAGAAAATGTCTTCCCAGTGCCTCAGCTCCAGCTGCATGTGACAGCAAAGTGCCCCCAGCCCCAGCTGGAGAACGCCCCAGCCCCATCCTTAAACCACAGCCAGGGAATTTGAGGGAATTCTGTGAGCTCCAGCAGTGATTCCATGCACGGTTGGGGTTTTGGGACCATGTTTCCCATGGCTTTCTCCTTCCCACTCCAATCCCTGCCTTTTGCCATCCATGATTCCCAGGCCCCTCGCTCCCACCTGGCTCCCACAAGAGGGAATGGAGCTTTCCTCCCCTGGAAAACTGAAATTTTGGGATCAGCCACCTGCATCCCATCCAGCCTGGAGCCGCTGGCCCGACCAAAGGGAGGCGGGATGAGCCTGGAAATGTTTTCAGGAACCAATTTGGCATCTGCCGAGGTTTGGCTGACAGGAGACGTCGGGAAGCATCCAAAGCAACATCTCAACCTGGATTCGTCCTAATTCTTCCCACATTTCCAAAGACCAGGCTGTGTTTGTCCCAGCCCTGTCCCATCACCACATTATCCTGGATGTCTGCCCCTCTCCAGAGCCCATTCCCATGCTCCAGCGGGCTTGGAAACCGGGATATTTTTGGAGGTGGTTCATGGGCAAGAGGCCCTCCTGGTACTGGGAGCATGAACAAAGGGAAAGCACAGCAAAAAAATTGGAAAGGCACCACAAAAGGAGAGAAAATTCCAAAAAATCCCATTCCTGCCCGGACACTCTGTTTATAAAAGGTTCAGCCTTTGCACACAGCAAAGAATTGATTCCTTTTCTCCCCTTTTTCCCTGGAAAATGGAGCACATGAAAGGCTCCATCCTGGAGGAATCCAGGCTCTCGTGAACGCTCCAGCCTCCAACAGGAGTCTGGGAACAGGAGCTGGAGCCTCCAGGCTAAAAGAAATGACATGCCTTTGCCAAAGGCTCTTACACTGAAATTCGAATGATTCCCAGAAAAATCTGCTGGAAAAAATGGAAGGATCATTTCAGACCCTCGGGTCATGTCATGATGCACCTTTGAGGGCTGTCCCTGCCCGTGATTTTTCCATGTTAAAAAAAAAAAAAAAAAAGGATTATGAGAAACCCCAGCATTTCCAGTCAAGTTCAGAATAAGATGAAGGCCAAGATCTGCATTTCCCCACAACTCAAAAATATCCATGTTCAAGAATCTCTCCTAGAAATCCCCCACATGGCATGGGAGGATTTCGATCCCAAACCCTTTAAGGCCCTGCTTTCAATCCTGAATTTTCAAGGCTGAGTTGTTAAAGAGACTGCGAGGGAGAGCCAGGACCAAGGAGGACCTGCCTCAGCAGCTCCTCTGCAAAACTCCCTCAGTGTCCCAAAAATTTCATCCCCAGCAAAATTCCATCAAGAAATTTCAGCTTCTCGGCCGAATTTATGGGGATACCAAAAGGCACTGGGATTCTTTAGCTTGGGAATGATGCTCCGAGTGTCCTCTGCCTTTTGTTTATGGAGAAAAAGGAGAATAAAATTCACCTCACGCTCCTCAAGGAGGGAGAATGATCCCACATCCGTGGATGCCACGGGAAAGAAATGGGAGCTGTGTCCAGAGAAAAGGGATCAGAAAGTGGGATCAGCCGGCCGGGATCCAGCTGAGATCCCTGTGGATGGAGCTGTGGGGAAGGAGAATCCCACAAACCCAGCGGGCACGGTCAGAGCTCTCTTTCCTCAGGGAATCATGGAATGGTTTGGGTTGGAAGAGACCTTGAAGATGTAATTCCGACCCCTGGGATGGATCAGTGCCTGTGGTGTGGGCATGAAGGATTCCCTGGAGACAAGGAGGGGGAGAACAGCTTTCCCAGGGAACCAGTGGAAGTGAAATATCAGGAGGAAAATCCCAGTTTTTACTGAGCCAAAGGGTTTTCCTGGAGCGCAGAGAGAGGACAGAAGGGAAGGATCCCTATGGATTTAAGCAACCCAGAGCAGGGATTCTCCTAGAGACAAAGCCAGACTTAAAAATAAACCAGCCCTTGGTCCAGCCAAGAATTCCAGAAACTGGGAACAGAGCAGAGCAAGAGGTGGTGACACTCGGGAGGGGATGAGTGAGGAATTCCCAATCCATGATGCAGC